CTCTCAATAGCCACTTTCACCTTCTACAAAGGATTTTGAATATTTGTAAGTCAAGGCCTGATGAACCATCCTGAACCCATCCAGCTACTGCAATTTGCACAGAAAATTCAGACTTTTAATAATTCTGGGAAGAAGAAGTGAAGGATATCATATAGAGCAAAAGATGCCAAAGGAATGACAAAGTTACCAGGATAAGAGCTGTGATTTTCATCTGCTAATCTGATATAATTTGAAAATCCAGCCAAATTCAACAGTTTAACATAAATCTGATTTAGAAAAAAACACATAGTATGATATGAAAGTCAACATCAGAAAGCTCTTAGCATCTTGTAAAAAGCACTGACTTAGTGAAAAGCTGTGAGCTGGAGTTTTAAGATGATAATAACAAAAAATGAAAGAGCTAAACATCCTTTTAGCTTCTATTAGTTTTGAAAATTGATATTTACAAGCTATTAAGTTCTTTCTCAGACAATTCCTTTTCAGATGCAGAAGAAATCAAATTTTACACTATTTATCCACAGACCACGTTTGCATCAACAAAGGCATCCCAATACATTTGCAGAGAACTGAGAGCACACGTTTTAAAAAACCCAACGTGCTTCCTCTGCTTGCCCAAAAATCAATGACAGAAGTGTTTTTGTAAGACAAGAGCATCATTTTGCACTCTCTGGTGAGTGTAATTCTAAATAAATCACACTGAAAATAGAGAATCACAGAAGGGTTTGGGTTGGAAGGGACCTTAAAGCTCATCCAGTTCCATCCCCACACCTTCCACTAGCCTGGGTTGCTCCTACCTGGCCTTGGGCACTTCAAGGGATGGGGCAGCCACAGTTTCTCTGGGCAACCTGTGCCAGGGCCTGCCAACCCCCACAGGGAAGAACTTCTTCCCCAAAAGAAAAAACATTCCTAAGCTCCTACAAACGAGCCCCTTACAGTGAAGTAGAACTGCTCTGTCTCCTGCTGGTTGGCCCTTCTCTTGGCAATGCTGGGTTTGCTCATGAAGGTTTCTGAGACAGTGGATTTCACAGACTCCATGGAGTTGCTGTACTGGAAACAGTCCGAGACATCAAAGTCCTCTATGGTGACAATGTCCTGGATTGTCTGGAGAGTGGCTTCCATGGTCTTCTTAACCTGCCCAGCGAGAAGGAGAGAACTTACAGGTGAGGACAGCACGTTGTGTGCAAACAGGAGAGGCAGCAAGTGCCCTGGAGCACTTTGGTAATAAACAGATATTACTGGTTTCACGTCCTGACGTAATTAAGGGGTAAGTTTTGCTCATTAACAGCACAGCCCAAGGGCTGGCAGCACCCAGAACCTGCCAGGAGCAGGAAATCAGCTGTGATCAGGAGCAGATGTAAAGACATTTAACCTCAAAGAGTGTGGAACAAAGATGGTCTAATTGTCCTCTGCAACTACATCTACTGGGCATCAAATGTTGGATGTTACAAGCAGGACTTTGCTGCACTTTTCATTTTTACTGAGGGTAAATCTGAATTGACTTCCTAGACATAAAGGAGTTGCAAATTTTACCCAAGGAGGATTAAAAGTTCTTGAACACAGAGGTGCAGAGATAGGCCACACCACTGATGTAGTCTTCTCATCTTAGATGACCAATTAAACAAAAATCACTCTTACTCCAGGTGATGCAAATTCACTGTCTTCACTTCAAAACATTAAGTTCCTCTTTTTCCCTTAGCTATCCAAATACAACTTTTGCAACACAGCCAGTCTTATCAACTGAAGGGTGGGGAGAAAGAGCCATGGAGGCATTTTAAAGGATCCTCTCCACACACCCAACTTCCATGTGGGATCACACACTCATGAACTGCTTGGCTTCAACTGCCTCAGTCTTGAATTTTAACACAAGTCTTCATAAAAGAGGATCACAGCAACAGGATTCTGCCACAATTAGTTCCCCAGGATGGACTGGAAGTGGGTAGGAGAAGTTGTTGATTTTTGGTGGATTAACTGACCTCTTCATTCTCAATCTTCAGTGTAGATAACCTGGACTGCAACTGCTGACACCTCTGCACCAACTCGCTCTGGACTGGCTGCTGGGCACACAGCTGGGACTCCTGGGAGGGAAACAGCACAGGGGAAAAAACCACATCATCAAGAACACTGCAATTAGTCATTTGATTATTATACACAAACGTTTTCCAAAGTGCTTAACTTTCAAACTTTGCAGCCCTGGATTTCAACCAGTGGCAAAGGTTCTCCCAAACTGCAGTTCCCTTCTTGGGTGGACTGAGCAAAAGAGAGGATGAGAACATCACAGGAGAGCTAGGAAAAACAAGCTCATTCCAGTAATGTAAGCTCATGGTGTGTTTTGGAAGTCTGAAGGTGCTTCACCTCAGATATTGGGCTAAATCACGTGGCAAATCAAGAAGAATTTGGTTCAATGTTTTAGCCAGGCATCCTGGGCAGGGGTACAAGGGGCTGAGCTCCCTCAGCTGAACTACCTGTACACCACAGCAACAGGCACCAGTCACCATTTAATAAATTCAGGGGAGTTGAAATAAAAAAAAAGAACAGGTTAGGGACCTGTCAAACATGCCAGAACACTGAGCTTCCCTGTGCTGCTCAGAATTACTCTTATTTCACAGCATGAGGCAGCTTTTCCCTTTAGTTTTGTTCTGGGTTTTTTTTGGGGGGGGGCTTTTTAAAAAGAAAACACTGCCCTCACTGCCTAAGGCTGTTTTTTTAAAGACAGAAACTGGAATGGGAGTTTTATCACACACATGCACACACACCATCATGTATTCAATGTAGGACTATTGCAACAAGACCATCAGCTGCATTATAAATACTCATTTGGCCTTAAGAACTACCAAGAGAAATGATTCAGTGAATGGGAGCTGCTGCTCAATGACTGACTGCAGGTAATTCTTTTTTTCTTCCCACGATCTTCCAGGATACCACCAAAGCACAGAAAAAAAAAACCCAGGAAAGGTCATTTGCAGTCTGAGAGTTTCCCTTAAAATGGAAGGGACAAAGAAGAGCCTGAAGCAGTGATTGTAATTCCTGGCTGGAAAGAAGAGGCTGCAAGAGACCATCCTTCCAGTCTGTGCTCAGTGTTCAGGGGATAATCTAGAAATCCAACCAACTGACCTAAATTAGCACACTGTGCATGTGTTCCCATTTAGAACCGGTTTCAGCTTGTGCCACTTTTAAACAGTTCCCAGCTGAGTAACCACATCTTGATAAACCTATAAAGAGAGGGATTTTCCGTGCCAAAAACCGAAAAGTCCTCTGACAGCCTCGTCTCACAAGGAAGATGCAAAAAGCACCACTGGAAAGCATTTCTGCTCCAAGATTACGCACCCAAACGCATCAAAAATCAGCATTTAAGTTTCTTTATGCTGTCCCCTCGAGTTTCTAACTTCACATTCTGTCTCAGGGTGCAGGAATTTACCTCATTTCATTTATTTATTTATTTATTTAACTGGTAGGTTAAATGAAAGGGAAAAATGGAGCATCCTGTTCCCGTTTAGCATTAAACCCAATTAAGCATTTCCATCTTCAGCACCTCTGATGGCCAAAAAAGAGCCAGTAAAATTCAGGCATCCACATCAGGAGCCTCTGCTTAATCTTTACATCACCTCCCCTTTCTCAGGCTCCCCTGAACCCCCCAAACCCTGAGCCAAACAGGTGGCCTTGGACTGAGTGGGAGCCAGAGACCCTCTTTACCCAGCCTGATCAGATGCTGGATTGATCTGCTATTGACCAGGCTTATAAATATCCCTGATAAAGATTTCAATTGCAGTAGCTGGGTGGGTTCAGGATGGTTCATCAGGCCTTGACTTACAAATATTCAAAATCCTTTGTAGAAGGTGAAAGTGGCTATTGAGAGAAGTGGGTGGAGAAACGGCTTCAATTAAGAAGGGATTGACCACCCTGCCCAGGGTGATGGAACTAGAAAAGTGATTTTTAATTGAACTCCCAGCACTCCCTCTCTAGAGAGGGACTATTGTCAGTTTAAATAGGAGAAGGAACCCAGGGCTTCATTTGGAGGGGATATTTTTCTGTTTTGTGGTGTTAGTTAGAGAGACCCTCTTTACCCAGCCTGATCAGATGCTGGATTGATCTACTATTGACCAGGCTTATAAATATCCCTGATAAAGATTCCAAGCTTTGAAATCTCTAAAGAGCAGCTTTTTCAGTGTCTGAGGAAACGCTCAGATGAGTATTAATGAGGCTGAGGGCAGAGCTGGGTGAGACATTCTCTGTGTAGGGGATGAAAACAAAGTGCAGAGCAGAACTGAGCTTTCAATCCCCTTTTACCTCATGATGTGCTAAAACGCACACGCGGGACACGAACTGCGCGAAAAAACCCTGATTTAAAAGAGCATTCCATATCAATGCAACTCCAGCTGGAATTTCCGGGACCCAAACCGACCATGTCACCCATGTGTGGCTGGAACTCGAACTTCATGGGGGGGCAGAAGACGTTGTTGTACATCTCCATCAGCCTCTGCTTGTCGCTGTTGGCGTCCAGGTTCTCCACGGCGTTCTCGATGGCGTCCAGCCCCTCGTGCTTCGACTGCTCCAGGTTCAGCTCGGCCGACAGGAACGTCCTCAGGGCTCTGTTGAGGCTGGCGTGGTAGCCCAGGTCACAGCACTGCTGGAAAAACACACACACACACACCCCCCACCCCACGTGAATAAAGTGGAGGAATGCCGGGATGGAAATCCGAAGCCTGAAGTTGTGTAAGTCAAAAGCGCTTTTGGAGTCAACGTGCTCTCACCAAATGCTTCAGTGAAACTGCATTTTCAACAGAGAACTCTTCTGTGGAAAAGGTTTCAAATAGCTCTGATTTAGAGCTGGGGAAATTTACCTCTTTTAATGCAGGAAGCCTTTTATATACAGTCTAAAGGCAAACATCTCTCTGTAATAGTTTTTCTAGGTGAATTAAGGACATGTTGCCTCGTCAGACACTTCATATTCTGCCTGTAGTTATCCAAGACAAACCTATACCAAATCTGTGCTGCTCTTAATTTTAAAGGAGGAACTTTTTGCTTTATAGAGTTGCAGAATTCCTCCTGAACAACATCTTCAAAGCTAAGATATTCTGCCTAACACTGATCACCAGCAAACTTCCCTTCTGCATCTGTTTTCAGCTTCAGAGCCTCTGCTGGAGATGAGCCCATTCCTTGTGCCCCCTGGCTTGGATTGAGGGATTCTCCCCATGGAAATGATCCAGTATCTCAGTCTTTAAGACCAGGCTGACCCTCTGTTTGGCTGCTGACATGAGGTTGCTTTAAGAGCAGGCAAGGCTGAAAGATTAAGGTTGGACTTGATGATCTTGGAGATCTTTTCCAATCAGGCTGATTCTGTGATTCTGTGATTCTAAGTGGATAACAAGTTGTGGTTATTTCAGCATCTTCTGGATACCAGAGTGGTCCCACATCCCTCCCTCAGGGCAGAGGCATCTTGCCCAGGGTCCTTAGAGAACCTCAACCTGTAATCCCACACAAATTCTACCACCATGTTATAATTAATAACCAAGACAAGCACAGCTTAAACAATTATAACAGTTTGTGGAGCTTAAACAATTATAACAGTTTGTGGAGCTTAAACAATTATAACAGTTTGTGGAGCTTAAACAATTATAACAGTTTGTGGAGTTTTTGTGGAGTATTAGATATTCATTTCATGCTGTCAGGAAAAAATAACCTAGAATTGAGTGTGTTCAACAGCATGCCAGTGTATTCCCCTAAGTTCTAACCTCACTTTTAGGGGCCCTGATTCCTAGAAACACGCTCCAAAATCCTTAAATAACATTATTCAAAGGAAGAGGAAAACAAGGCACTACTGGAGAAACGAGACACAGGATTTGGATCATGTATAAAAGTTAATCTGCATCTAGATAATTCTGCCCAAAACATGGAAAACTGCTTTATTCAGTGTAGTTCAGGAAGGAGGAACATGACCTGGACATCCCAGGCATGAGAACAGAGTCATCCAAAAGCCAAGCAGCCTTTGCTTGGGATGATTTCACTGCTGGGGTGAAACAGAGGAGCAAAAAAACTTTGAAGCAGAAAGTGGTTATGGTCAAGAATTTCCTGGCTATGGCTGACACCAGGGTGATGTCACTGGGATACAATCAAGCAGCTTCATCTCCACCAGGGCTGCAGAGCCAAGTTTTCATGTTTCAGAAGGGGGAAAAGGCACTTTTTCATTAACTGGTCAGAAACAGCCTGGATTTTTTCAGCCATCGAATTGAGTGAGCAAGAAGGAGCCCACCTTCTTGGAATTACAAGCAAGATTACACACACTAGGAGAATATCCAAAAAGAAAGAAAGAAAGAGACCATCTGCTTGATTGCTGTGCTGCTCTGTAAGCAAAATTCACATGAAATCTCCTCCTCGCCCATCATTTGGGTCTCATCACTGTCATTGTGTGCAAAAGCAAAGAAAAAAAAGGGGAAAAAAGAGAAGGAGGGGTGGGGGGAGAGGGAAGAGAGAGGCTACTGGACCATTCCCTGCTTTCACAGGATTTCTGCCACCGGGTGCTGCTGGATGCCTGGTTCTTGTGCCAACAAGCTGTGGCAGGTGGGGAGTCTTGTAAAAAGAGCTGCAGTTGCTGGTTGGGCTGGAGGCAGAGAATTAAAGGACTTTACATTCAATCAGAAAGAACAAAACCAGCCAAGAAAAAAAAAAAAAAAAAGGAAAAAAAAAACCAAACACCAAAAACAAAAGAGGCCTGATTGAGAATCTGCACGTGTGGAGGCAGTCTTGGATCAAGAGCCACTCACAGCTACTGCTCAGTGCACACACACTGCAGTCCTTCCCTGCAGCCATGGGGGGGGGAAGGCAGAGTTGGGCCAGTGCTGCAGGATCCCAGGATTGGGATCAGCTCAGGTTTAACAGCAGCACTCACTCCTTTCCTCAGAATCACAGAGTAAGCTGGGGTTGGAAGGGACTTCTGGAGATCACCCAGTGCAACCCCCCTGCCAAGGGAGGGTCACCTGGAGCAGGTGACACAGGAACACATCCAGGTGGGTTTGGGATGTCTCCAGAGGGAGAGAGAGACTCCACACCCTCCCTGGGCAGCTGTTCCAGGGCTCTGCCACCTCCATGGAAAGAAGTTCTTCCTCATGCTGAGGTAGAACTTCTCTTTTAGTTCATGGCCATCGCTCCTTGTCCTGTCACTGGGCACCACTGAACACACCTGGCACCATCCCAACACCCCTTGGAAACACTTCTCTATCTTCTCTTCTCCAGACTAACCAGGCCCAGCTCCCACAGTCTCTCCTCATCAGAGAGATGCTCCAGACCCCTCATCATCTTTGTGGCCTCTGCTGAAGCCTCTCCAGTAGCTCCTGGTCTTTCTTCAACTATGGAGAGCAGAACTGGACACAATTCCTGCTGTGGGTCAGGAGGTTGTGCAGCCTCCCAGTGCTCCCACTCTGCCCTCCCAGTGCTCCCTTTCTCCCATCACATCCATGCCTGGAAGGAGAGTGGGACTGCTGCAGGAGGGGAGAGCACTGGGGGAGCTGGGAGGTCCAAGGGCAGTTAATTTGCCACACCCACCTCAAAGCAAAGTGTTTTGGCTTTTTGCTGCTGAAGGCAGTGACAGAAAACACTTCCCAGCCCACTCCCCCACTGGAAAGGTTTTTAAAGTCCAGCGTTCCGTGTTTATAAATGTACCAGTCCCACTGTCCCTTTTCTGGGTTATATAAATGTTTGATGGAATCATTCTCAAAGGAAATCAATTTTTTATAAGAATTTAATGATAACTCATTCAAATTCCCTTCCCGACATGACAGCTGATTAACCCTTTGCCAGTTAGCAGTTTTCAAACAGACCCAAACCAGAAGATTTAAGGAGAAAAAGCCCTTTGTTGTAAAATGCAATTTACATTTGGAAGGGAAAGGATGGGATCCTGGAGTAAACAGCAATGGAATACCTATTCCTAGAAAAGTAAAGTAAGCTCTGTGAGTCACTCACACACACATTTTTACCTTCTTTTTTTTTAAATCCTGTCCTAGTGACCCTTTTATAAATATGAGTTAATGCAAACTTCCCCATTACTGTAATATTTCATTAGCATCAAAGAGCTGCCTCAGTCCCCAAAGTCAGGAAATTCAAAACTACTGGGCTATGTCAGGAACAATTTATTGTTCTTAACTCTCAGTGAAGAATTAACTCCCTGTTATCCTTCCCTGTAACTGGAGAGGGAACACAATGTGCTGTATAAACATGACAAGTTTAATGCTGTTGGGTCTAACACAATCTACTTGTAAGTAACTTTGAAGATTACTTTTATATTATATTTCAAAATTCAATATGATCAAATGATCAGATTGAGGGAAAGCATTACAGCCTGGCTTAAAAATCACATTTTTATTTAATTCAGACGGTTCAGATAACCATCACTGGTTATAATTGTTAATTTTCAATCCTTCAGGATCAAAGGCATTAATAAATCTATATTCCCTGTGCCCTGACAATGAGATAACTGAGCTCCATCTCCTGTGCTCCCAGACAAGTCCCACATTTTTCCATGCCTGAAAACAGAACAGATAAATACTTCTATTTGAAAGATTATGAAAACTTATAATGTAGTGTTAAACTGAATGCTTGAAGGGGGTTAACACGGGCACGGACTCACCCAGAGCCACGATAGCTCCTCTCTAGGAAATCCCTGGAATGCTGCAGTTTGGCTCCTTGTCTTGCAGCACTGCCTGCCATGGCCCAGAGACAGCTGGGACTGTGAGAGAAGCACTTCTTTCCAAGCTGGATAACCCAGATTTGTCATGTCCTGCTTAAAACATCTCAGGTCCGTGCTTAGAAGCTGGTTTGGGCTTATGAAATGCAAAAGGATTCTTCACTGTATCTGACTCATGAAAATACACTGGGCAGACAAATGAACCAAGCACACGGGCAGCATTTGGGGGAGGACTTAGAGATGGGTTGTAGAAGTAAAAACTGAGATAACTGAATTAGGCTGATGGCAGGGAAGCGAATCCCAACCAACTTTTCAATGTAAACACGTACAAAAAGTTATCATTTGTAAAAAAAAAAAACCAACCCAAGAGCACACAATTAAGGTTGAGCAAACGTTAACCAAAACAGGGCTCCTAAAAAGGCAGCAGGAATAAACAACCCAGGCCTCTTCAGTGCAGCAATTCTGCAAATCATGACATTTGGAAATAACAGCATTTTTCAAGCCCACTCTCACTGACAGCCCTGACCTCCAAAGGACAGGTTTAAATCAACACCTGGCACAAGAGCACTCCAGGCGAGTTTATCATCAGCTGAATAAATGTATTATATAGACTGTTAGTTATTATAATAGCTGAGTAATTAATAGTGCTCTGAGTGCTCTTTATTGCCTATGTCTAGAGACACTTGTGTTCATTACTCCCTGCTCCTGCTGCAGCTCCCTCCAGGCTTTGAGCCGAGTGTTTCCAGCAGTGCTGGAACTGGGATGGCCTTGGAAAGGGAACTGGATCCAGCACGAGGCAGTGACCCAGACACAGCTTGAAGGGGGGAGTTACATCCCTGTGAGTAACTCAGGATTCCCAACTGGCTTTTCTGAGTTTTCAAAGAGCAGAGATTTGATTTTTTTGTTGTTCTTGTTGTGAGTTTTACCAAAAGCAGAATTGATTCCCACTGAACACTGCGGGGTTTGGAATATATTCCCTCTGTGAGCAGTGACAGGACACAAGGGAGGGCAGGACACAAGCTGGAGCTGTGTCAGGGAGGGTTGCAGGTGGATATTAGGAAAAGGTTCTTCCCCCAGAGGGTGGTTGGGCACTGATCAGGCTCCCCAGGGCATTAAAACCTGCCAGAGCTCCAGGAGTGTTTGGACAATGCTCTCAGGCACAGGGTGGGATTTTGGGGTGTCCTACCCAGGGCCAGGAGTTGGACTCAATGATCCTTGTGGGTTCCTCCCAACTCAGGATATCCTATGGTTCTCTGAATTTTTCAAAACAAGTGAAAAGCCACTTCAGGAAATGCTTCTGAACTCCCAGTTCTTTTCCCAAATTTCTTCTACTGTTTCTACAGCTCAAAACCTCCTTTCAAAATGTGCTTCAGAGCTAAAATCTTTGCGGGTTTGCTTAAAATAGCAAAGAGAAAATGTCAGGCAACAGTGTGACACCAAAGCTGGGTTTCATTTTAACTAAGCAACTCCCTTTCCTTTTCAGAGCCACGTTTCTCCTCTCCCTGTGCAATGAACCGAGTTGGCCATGTAAGAAAAGTTCATGTCACAGCTCCATGAACAAATACCAGGGTTGTGGCCACCCTCCAAGCTGCCCATCCTGCCTGTCCCTGCACAGCTGTGCAGAGGTTTCCAGCTGTGCTGGTGCAGAAGATGCTGAAGGAGGAGGGGAAGGGGTGAGGGCTCGTGGCAGTGACACCCAGTGCAGGCCCCCGAGCAGCAGCACTTACATCAATGAGATCAGACAGGTCATGGATGTAATACTTGAACACCGAGGCATTGGTGGCTTCCAGGGCCAGCAGATACTCATTCCTTGCCTTAATGGCCTTCAGCCTGTTCTCTGTGTACTTTGCTTGGCGCTAAAAGAGAAAGAAAAAGAGAATACAGCATTAAAAGAGGTGTAGCAGCACTCAGGATACTGAACAAAGCCTGCTCTGCCCACACGGATTTTGTCCATTTGAATTCCAGTTCTATCAAGACTCCAAGACTTAAAATGCAGATTAATTATTTAGGTGTTTTAAGCATTTCTGTACCAGGCAGCTCTGGATTGAAAGTCTTCTCTTGAGGGTGTGGGCTGGGGAAGATTAAGGAGAGAATGAAGGAGCAAGGTGGGTTTTATGAGGTTATTTATGGTCCAGCTCCAGCACTATCAGAAGACCACAGGCAGTTTGAGGGCTGCTGCAAGCACCCCACCTCTTCCAACAGAAGCTAGGCTTGAACTTGGTACTTCCAGAGTCTAAAACCATTAAAAAATAACTCTTCTCCTTCCTATTGGTTTAAACTTTAGAGCTGAACTGGCCAATTAGTGACTAACTAACCTTAAACTGACTTAAAGCTGACTGACTACTAAGGCAACTGGCTTTGTGGGATTACTTGACTCCCTCCTATCACAGGCCTTGTGCTTTGTACAAGAAAAACACATGTCAACCAGACCTTCCAAGAAGGTAATTGTTACTTTTACGCTGTGTTTTAACTTTCTGTGCCAGGCCTGCATTACCCGTGTTCACACAAAATGCCCACTGGATCGGTGCGAGCTTTGGCCTCTCCTTAATCCGAGCGTTTAAAACGGCCGAAAAAAAATTAAAAAAAAAGACATTTTGCAGTTGAGGAGGGAACTCTGTATCCCCCGTGCTGATCTACTGCAAAAACCCCCTCTGCACAAGCAGCAGCACTGCCAGGCAAGTACCTTCTCCTTCATTTTCTCGATCTTTTTGACGGAGCTTCGCCGGACGTGTTTCTCCTCGAACTTGACGTTGGAGGTGGAGTCGGGGGAGCGGGGGGTCTGCTTGTCCTCCTGTTTCACAGACTTCCCAATCTGCTTCTCCTCCTGCTTCTCGGCCTCCTTCAGCTTGCTCTGGGCGCTGATGCTGTCGGCGTTGTACATGTGGTAGGTTTTCATCACCTGCAGGAAGAAGAGAGCCCAGCAAGGTTGTTAAACTCGAAATAATCCGAGCTGGAAAAATAACTCAGGGGAAACTTCCCCTCTCAGAAGATGCCACAAATGAGTGTGTGGCTCTCGAAACAGAGTGGATTATTTTGCAGCTGTTTCTTTTGTTTAACTTTGGCATGTGCCTTCTTGTACAAGCCAATAAAGGAGGCATGAGATCCAAAAAAAGATCCAGACTCAATCCAGCCTCCTTTGCTGCTCAAAGAAAATGATATGCCAGCGTTGGAAAATGAGAGCTTTTCATCAGCAGGTAAGTTTTCCAAAGGGATGCCTATCAGTCTTTCATCTGGATGAATCAGTCCTTTAAACATCACAAGTCTCCAGGAACTGTATGTAAATCATGTCTGAACACAATGGCTGCAAAAGCAACTCAGGTTCCACTTGTTTATATCAAATTTGGTACATAAAAGTACTTCTGTTCACCTTATGTAATAAAAATATTAATAAAAGAGTGTTGTCCTTTTGTTTAGGGAGATCTGGACTCTGTACTATATGGACAACTTTTATTATAGCACATTTTTTATAATTAAATATAGATAAATATCCCCCAAAGTCACAAAAAAACCCCATTTGTTTCACAGGATATTAATGTCTAGCTTTGTGTTGAGGAGAAAAAAAAGAACTAAAAAACCAAAGGGCACGATACATAAACTAGTTTTTTATCCAGAAATGCAAAGCAATTCGAAGCACACACCAAAACAAACATCATGATGTAACTCTCGTGGGGGGAGGCAAAAAAAAAAAAGCACAGTTGCACAAAGTCACCCCAAATAAATCAATTTTTTTATGCGAGTGGGGGTCTTGATTTCAGAGGAAAATCTGTTTATACCTGTTTTGTACCACAACGTGACACAGTTCTACGTAAGTAGGACGCAAGCTCTGCCTCTGCAGCGATCAGCAAAGGTTCTCAGCTACAAAGAGACACTGGATTTAAACATGAAAGGGAATGTGAATGCAGCCAGTGTTGGAGAGACGTGCTGAATAATTTACACACAGGCACTCCCAGCTCCCCCATACGCTCAGACTATAAAGCAGGCATTTATAATAACAGATTCCAAGGAGCTTCTTTCCCTCTGTCGCTGAGAGTGGAGCTGGCAGAGAGCAAGAGAAGCAGGAGGAGAAATGGGGATTGGAATGGTTTCATCCCACTGCCCACCCCAGTCTGCTGCTGGGGTCACTGGTGACTCACTGGAGTCTGCTGAGGGCACGGGACAATCCAGGGCAAGACAAAAATTACAGGCTGTAACAACCCCTCTGTGTTTTGTTGGCGCGGGGAAAGTAAAGAATTCGCCCATATCCATTTTGCCTGAAAACAGGGATCCTGCCAAGGCTTTGGGTGCAGAATCACAACATGGTTTAGGCTGGAAAAGACCTCTGAGATCATCAAGCCCAGCCTTTGGTTGATCAGCACCTTGTGCCACGTCCAGTTAAAACCAGAGACCCAGCAGGACAAGAAGTGGGAGCATTTCTAGAAAGTAGCACTAAATTTAATCACTGCTGGGGTTGTTTTGGGTCCAGCAAGAAATGGTCTTTTAATCTGAAGTGGCTTTTTCAAAGGAAAAGAATTTTTCTGGTGAAGGGACAACTTAAAATTTTGCAGCAGAAGGAAGGAATAAATAGATTTCAAGTTCCTAACACAGACATTAGAAAGGTTTGTATCCTACATCTCTTTGTTTATCACAGGCTGAATTCTGGAAGATCTTCCTTCCATGGTCAGAGAAACCACCAGGACTCAGTATTTGGCTGAATGACCTGTCAGAGCCTGGCACACAGAAATTATTACCCAAATCTATGAAACTCCAGGAAGCAGCCCCTTCATTGCCAGGTCAACTTGGATTAGAAAGAAATCTCAGTTCCTGAAAGTCTGTGGTTAGAAACAGAGCTGAGCTCTTCCCTAAGATCTCATCCATGACTCAAAAGTTGTATCAGATTATGCCCTCAAATAGAAAACAATTTCTGGAGTAGGCAGTGTTGATTATTATTATTATTATTATTATTATTATCTGAATATTTGGTTTCAACGCTGGAACTGTAACAAATTGTAACAGAACGTTTTACTGATGTAGGAAATTGCAGGGATACCCCATAAATATTGTAACATTGATATTTTTACTGAATTTCATCACAGGGTTGATGTGCCATGGCTTGAGGAACATCCCCAGATCATCTTTTGAAAGAAGGAAGGACAGAACTCGTACCTCCGTGTCATGACCCGGAGTATCATTAAGGAAGCACAAAATGAAAAGACATTTTGAGCAACTGAACCACGTGCAAGTTCTGCTTTTAAAAGAGAACTAGCTCAGCAACAGCTGCAGAGAGCAAAAATCTCGTCCAACCACAGGATTTCCCATTTATCAATGTGAGAAGAAAAACCCCCACGCAGCACATGAGCTCCCAGGAACACATCCCTCCTCCTCCTCCTCCTCCCTGAGGCAGCACCTCTTCCTTGGTGCCTCCACTGGATTTACTGAGATCCAAAAAAAAAAGCACAGATGGAAAACTCTTATTACTCTAAGGGGAACTGCTTTGCTGAGGGTTGAGGAACAAACACACATAGTGGGTCCCCCCCCCCGTGCAGCCTTCTGTCTGCTCACACCACACAAAACTGAAGGGTTTTAGCATATTTAGACATAATTCCACTCTCTCTGACTCTTCTTGATTTAAAACCATCACTGCAGCGAAGGAGAAGGTGTGATCTTCCTGGAGCAAACACTCACAGAGCTCAAACAACACAGGGACAGAGGGAAAAAGTGGGATTTATGGTGCTCTGTAGGTGGTGAACACGAGGTGCCTCAAACTGCAGGGACTGCAGACGTTTATCAGCGTTGGTGGGAGAACCCAAACACTTCCCTCGTGCCTGAAAAGATGCCAAGGACTCAGTTTGATTTACCGTGTAGAGTTCATTCAAGACCTTCATCAAGTCTTCCTGGAGCTGCAATCCCACTTCCTTGCTCTGCAAGAGAAGAGAGAAACGAAAGTTAATTGGGGAAGACGGAAAAGAGGCGGAGGAAGCGAACACGGAGCACCCACAGATAATTTAGGCCCAATTAAGCACCACTATCTATGCTGGCAAATCCAATAAACTGCCCAGCCCAGAGCCCACTTAGGGCCACGTTGCACCAAGAGTATTAATAAACTGAAATGTTATATAAGCACAGGAAGAAAAGCTTTGCTGTATGGAGATGGAAACGGCCAGAGAATTTGGGGTTTTCAGAGGTCAAGCCTGGAAACACACAGATCCTGCAATTTTAGCAGGATCAAGGAAGACTATGGATACAGGACAGCCTGGTATGGAAGCTGAAGAAATGCAGGGTAAGGAAGTCAGCATGTAAGAAGAATATTACTCAGTTTAGACATTTTACTCCCTCACTACCCACTAAGGCAGCGTTTGAGTGACTGAACCTTCACGCTCTGCGTGTTAGAAGTATTTAATATCTACTGGGGCAGCAAATTTGATAAGTTCAAGATTATTTATGCCTACAAAGTTCAGGAAAAGAAAAAGATAAAGAGGCAGAGCAGACAAACCCACACTTAAACCAACATTGCTGCCTTGGAAGTCAAGATAGTGTTAAGCTGTGAGTTAAAAAAAAAATACCAAGACCATACTGATAAATGTAAAAGCCAAAAGAGAGAGTTCATATAATTTAAATCTAAATTATTCTCTTCTGAACACTGTCCAGCTCAGCAGTGCTCAGAGTAGGTTTCTGAGATGATGGTTGTTTTATCCCAGACTGTTTCCCCAGCACAAGTGTCCACGGTCCAATCCTTTGCCTTTTCCATACATTCCAGTCCCATGTTCCTAACTCTGCTCCCCAGGTGCTACTGGGGAAAAAAAAAAAGCATCTGACACAAATGCTGACAAAGGAAAGCATCCTGTTTTTTTTCTGAGGAGTCTTTAATCTAAAGAAAAGCGAGAAGCTGGTGGTTCCCAATCCCCAAGGGAGTTCGCAGCAACAAATCTACAGTTTTTTCCACCTCTGAAAGCAGGAAAAAAAAGCTGAAGCTGCTGCTCATCCCTGCAGTGATGTGGGTCACAAGGGTTTTCTGACTGCCTTTTTCTCAACGTGGAGATGATTAATGGAAGTGACTGGCTGGGTCTGTTTTAAACGCCCTGAGCACTGAACTTTTCACACAGAAGGAGCTTTTGAGCAACACGCTCCACTGTGCTGGTGAAACTGCCTGGACTGGCCCAATCATCTGCCTTTCACCAGGCTCTTTTCAGCCCATTTGCTTATTTCTTGCATAAAATTGCTCATTCACTGCACAAACTGCTGAAGCATCAATTATGCGAAACAGATTAAAATGAATATTTTAATGTATATTCGGGTTTGAAGAAGAAAAGGAGACACGCAAGTGCCAAATTGTCAAAACACAAAACTCTTTGTGCTTCCAAATGAGCAATCAAGAAAGAAGCTGCTGGATTGCTGGACTGGAAAAAACCTTCCATTAAGATGAAGGTGAGATAGATCATAGGTGCCATGAAAACAAGAGCTGTGCAGTGAGCACTGTTAATGTAATGCTGTTCCCTGCACTGATTCCACCAAAAGAAAAAGGTTTAGGAGGGAAAAAAGCTGAGCTGGCGGACCCTGATAAATGAAAATACATTTGAGGAAGCAGAAAGGTTTCCTTGGGAAAGTCAGAAGAAAATGGGAAAGAAGTTGTTGCTCGAGTGCTGTAGAGGGAGGTGAAGGTGATGCACAGAGAGAACTTCCCTGACTTCCCATGGAGTTCAAAGTGCAGCCAGATTCAAGGCTGCTGATCCCAACCCTTGTCACACAGGCATGAGAGATCCCAGGATCATGGCAGAATGCGGCATGGATTTACAAAGAAAATGCGCGTCAAGAAAACAGAACCAACAACCAATGTCTCCAGTATCAATTTCTATTTCAGCATCAAATCCTATGTTGTTCTCTCTAATTCTGTATGTTGTGCAAAGGCAGACAGAGCTTAAAATAAGTCCATTTGTAAACAATCTTCCAGGAAAAAGCAATAAATGAAGGCAAGTCTGATCAGTTTTATTATTATTTATCCATGCTCAGCTCTACCTACAACCAGAGTCTATCTGCACCTCCCTGAAAGGGCTTGTGCAACAAAATCTTATCTGACTGGCTCTACTAATAAACTGTGTGTGTGGGGAGGGGAGGTCCCCACAAACCTTGTCTCCTTATCCCATCAGGGCTAAATCCTTCTGCCCTCGATTTGGGAGATGATCCAGTTGGATCATCCCTGATGAACATGGCACAGCACAGGAGTCCATGAGAATGGGGAAGGGGGACAGTGGGGCACCAGCACCTCCTCACCTGTGCTGTGCCAAGGTTTGCAACGAGTGGTGACAACCACAGGCTTCCCTTCCTCAGAAAATCAGGAAAACAATCAGCAGCACCCAAGGAAGTCACGCCAGGATGGTGACAGCAGTGCAAACCTGCTTCCTCAGCACGTTCCTCTCAAACTGCCCCTCCGAAGCCTTTCTTGCAGCCCAAAGGAGCTGCTCTGAGCGTGTGTGCACACACAAACACACACACACACACATGCACACTACTCCTTTGTTACCACAGGGTGTATCTGCACCATGTGCAGAGCTGTAGGTTGCTGCCACATAAATTCCCAGCACCCCGTGCCAGCTCCTCAACGGCCTCTTTGTTCCAGCCCTCCCTCCCCTCCACCTCCCCTCTAATTTAATCAAGATGTTTTTGGGATCTACTGCAGGACTGGCTCGGCTGTTCCGCATTCCACCAAACATTAACGACTTCAGCCTCAAAATATTCCGGGGGGACAACAAATCTGGGAGCGAAGGAATGCCGGCAACGTTTCGTGCCCCGGATCTCGAGCCTCGGGAGCTGCTGGTTCCAGATCTGATAGAAGGAGATGGGATGGCTTCAAAACAAACATTCTGTGCAGCTCAAGAGGTGCTTTCCCTACAAACTCGACCCCAGGACTCCAACCACTGGTGGGTGAATGTGTAACAACACCCAGATAAGAGATTTTATCTGATTGTGTCGCCTCAAATGATGCCGGACGGTGACAGGGAACCCAAACCTGCTGATTCTGAGCTGCTCCCTAACAAGATCAGTTCCCCACATCTTATAAAAAGCAATAATTAAATGTGCATAGGTGGAGAAGAAACATTAAATGTTTTTTTAATAAACAGTGGGAGCTGGGAATGAGTCTTGCTGTAACCAGTGAGGAAATGTGCAGCAGTGCAAGATCCTTTTAAATCCTGTCTAAATCCACATTACAACACAGGGTATTTATTATGCACTAAATTCTGCTAATGAAGATTGTTAAAGAGAAGGCTTGGAAGGTAAAATCTACCAGGATCCATGTAGCACTTAAACAGAATTTGGTAATTAAAGTTTAGAATTCTTTACAGGTAGATCCTTGATAGTGATTTTTCCTCTTAATAATCAATCCTGCCTGTAATTCACTTGCATGCAGTAGCAAATATGATTTACCACCTCCATGCTCTCATCTAAACAGTCAACCAGCTTCACTGTGTCAAGTCTCCATCATCAACATCAGCCCAACCCCTACATTATAAATATATCCCTTATTTTATGAGGATGTACCCTCAGTGAGGGCTGTGACCTGCCTGAATCCTGGGCAAATTTCTCCCACAATTTCTATGGATAAATTGCTCAGCCACTCTCACGTGGCCCTACAGAACAGGAATTCTGTAACAACTTCTCCTAAAGTTTCCAGCTCTCCAGAATCTACAGAAAAGCTAAGAAAACAAACCCTGTGTCACACAATGCAAATGCATATTTTGGGTGACAGATCATCACTTTCCAGTTTAATGATCCATTATGCCCTGGCCAGTCATATTTAAATAAGAGTTGCTATTATCTAGTTTTCTCCACCATTTCACCAGTGATTTGTTCCACCACTATGTCAGCAAGAAGGAATTTTCCTTCTTAACAGCAGAATCCTGCCCTCTGGAAAGCCATTCCCACATGGAACCACATCACACCACTGCCTCCCATCCTCTGGGCACAGAGAGTTGCTTCCCAACAGCCCCATTCCCTATTTCCCTGTTGTTTTGGGTTTTTTTCAGAATTCTGTGCTGATCCTATGGAATTTTGGGCTCCAGGTGCTCAATCCCAACAAACCAGGCAGTGTTATGGCCGAGAACTTCCATTCTTGCTGAAAAACCAGCTACATTTGCCCTCCTTGGACAAGCCACATGTGAAAAGGGCTTCTGGAGTGGCAATGGTGGAGTCCTGGAACATACTGGAGTCATTTTTA